AATATAAATTTTTTTACATAGTTTTTTTTCAACCTTAATAATTGTTTTAAATTTTATGTATCAAGACCCACAAGTACCTAAAGGTAAAGAGGTTAATTTACCTACGATGTCTAAATCAGGATATCAATAGGGCTAGCAAGAGCTGGCAGATGGCGGGTCCTTGTTCCAGTTTCAGGGACACCGGGACACTATCAAACGGTCGGATAGGCCAATTGCCAATTGTCAGATACAATTTATTCCCGGGCCCCTAGATGCTGCCACGGCTGCACTAAATGCGAATTGAAAATAAAATATTACACAGAGATTGCAGCAGTTGGGCTCCCGGATAGGAGGGGGGCCAGTGAGATAGCATGCAGAGGAAAAGAGACAGAGGGGGTGGAGCGACAAAGACAAACAAACATCCAATGCAGCAAACAGTAACACGATTATGCCCATGGCCATGAAGGGTGGCCGGTGATGACAGGGGAGAAGGGAGACGAGGGGACCGTGTCGATCATCAGGACCAAAAGGAATCGTAAAACAAAAGCGCCAGATAGTTTGCAGCAGCTACAACCTCGAAAATACCTCACTGCTCCGGCTTGTGCCTTTGCTTTTGCTTTTCCTGCTACTGCCAGTGATTGTGGGCGCCATTCGAAGCAGCGGCAATCGATTGTGTGCATCTTTTTTTTTTTTGGTGGCGTTAAGTGTTGGATCCTGGCAAAATGGGTTGCAGCAAAAGGGGGGGAGAGTCCGAGGGGCAGGCGAAAATGCTGCTGTCGTCGTCCTGATAGCGGGCACAGACAGACTGCACCAACAATCCTGGAGAGCCGCGGGGAAGCAGTCGCAGTAGCGTCGTCGATGGTTGTTCTATGTGTTTGGGTAGATACGTTAGGCTGGTCCTTAAAACGATATTGACCTCTAAATGGGGCTTTATATAGGGTTTTCTACATGATTCTACACTGATTTTGACGATTCGAGTAATAAACTACCAAAAATTGTAATTAAATTTAAACTTTATTAAATAAAACATGAAATTAATCAATAAATTTTAAAACCAAATTTTAAGCTCAAAATAAGGATATTAAAAATAATTAAATTTGGCACCACCTCAAAGGGAAGCCTGCTGGGGATGAGACAGATGGAGATACGAGTGCAGCACAGTGCAGTGACACCTTGAGGCGCTGTTGGCAAACTATAGAAATCACATAAACGCCCCGTCTCCGCTCCCCTCGTCGTCGAATCCATAAAATTCCAGGATCCAGCCCGCATTCGCAGAATCGAAAAAAAAATAAAGCACATTGGAGTGCACACAGGGTCCTAGTGGGGGGTGAAGGGACCAAAGGACTGAAGGACTGCAGCAGGAGATCAGAGACAGCCCACATGCAATGGCCGTGGAAAAGAAATGCCAGAAAATGCAACGTAAAAATGCATAAATCCGTGGGATTTAAAGATTTTGCTGGAATTTGTGATTTCTTGCATTTACTTTTTATTTTTGCACGTTTCTCCCTGCGGCTGAAGCTTACTTTTTGTTTTAGTTCGAAACGCCCACCACTCACCACCCACCGCCCTCATTTCGAGGCGTGTATGGGTATGGGGCGTGACTGGATTTACGCGATGTCCCGTTTTTTTACTGGTGAGAGAGAGTCCTCTATTCGCCACATCCATATCCACATCCGTATGCAGTCCCAATTCCCCTCTTTGACTGTTTAACACGCGCAATCAGCAACGCTACAAATTTCATATGACATTTTAAGTTGTTTTGCATTGCCACGCCCCCAAAACGCCATGCCACGCCAGAGCTCCAAATGCGAAGCGATTTGCTTTCAACTGCAAAAAATCCCCGACTCGACTCGACAGCCCTTTGTGCATTGCATTTCTGTGACTTTGGGGCACAATATTTCCGCACCCGATCTGTATTGTTCTATTTGAACTTTTTTTATCGTTTTATGGCTCAGCTAAAATGTAGATTTTCATTTTTTGCGACTGGTGCCACCCACACTCCAGCATGGTTGCTTATTGCTTATTGGAGGCTGCCACCAACAAGCTGCACGTTGCCCGTAATCAGTTCTGTGCCCAGGAGCCAGCTATTTATACGTTATTTTGTTTTAAATTCGATTCAATTAATTAATTCATTTTAAAAACTCTGACAGTGCCGAATTTTATAACGAGCTTGTTGCAACACATGTTGACGTCTCGGGGGCAGAGCCTGAAACATTTCAACTGCATTTTTAGCACCTAACTTAATTAGCTTTTTTAAATTGAAAAAAAAGATTACGTTTCATTATTGAATTATAAACTTAACAAAATGTTAAATTTGTGTTTTACACAACGACTATTAGACATAACAGCAAGTTGAAAAATTAAACTTTTTAAAATATAAATAAAGTTGGGGGTTTGAAACTGATATATCTCATGTTAATATATGAACGAGTTGTAAAAGTATTTAATTAACACATTTTTTGTGTCAATGAAGAGAAAATGCTTTATGTTTGAAGTACTTAGGAAAATATTATGTTTAGATATCATACCGAACATGATCAAAATACAAAAGGAAGACAGGACCTAACTATACGATACCCGGTACTAATCTGTACTCAGTACTCAGTATTAACAAAAAAAATCAAGAAATGGCATACTTTTTTTGGAGCAAGCCAATGAAGCAATCCAGTAGGGAAACATAATGAAAAGTCTATAACTCCTCTAAAAATCCGTAAAATATACATGGTACAAATACCTCATGGAATCGGAGATAATTCTTACACCCTGTTAGATTCATTCTCACAAATACAAAATACTCTTGTATTCTTCAAGTTTTGGGTATAAAAAAGTATGAAAGTATGTCTTTAAATGCATGTTTTAAATTTCACATACATTAAATATTTTGTAAATATTTTTATTTATCCTTATACATACATATCCGTATTGGATATCCATCTGTTTTACTTTTTTTTTTTTTTATAAACTTTTTTGTGTTTTTTTGGGGGCATGTCCAGCCACACACCCCCCGTAAGCTACGTGATTTAATGAACTGTTGATTTGGCAAATGCGCGATCCGGCAATGGAAACGCACATATTTACGAAGCCCCCCCTTTCCTCTGTCCCTTTCTGTCCCATCTGCCATCTCGCTCATATTTAACTTTTGTGCTATGCGTTTCAAACAGTTTTCACAAAAACTGCGCCGGGGAGGTGGCAGAAATTTTGGGGCGGAGTGGTAGCAAAAATAAGAGGATACTAGCAGAGCAGCACGAAATTATTTAACATGTAAATCAAGGCAGTGGCAAAAGCGAAAAATCTAACAGAGCTCAGTGCGAAACTTTTTTAATTTCAAAGCAAATAGCGTGGCATCAGGGGGGCGGGAGTAGTGGGTCAGTCAGGATTGGTGGGCGTGTAGCTTGTGCAGATTATGAGGTGGCAGTTGGGAGGCAGCAAAATCGCGATGATTATAGTCACGTACTTGTCACCCCAACCACCGTACTGCCACTCCCCCAAAAATCCCGGCTTGTAATTACACATGTGTGTGTAGACAGGGAGTTGGTTGGTATATATATAAGTATATGTGTGTGTTGGCAAATATTAGGTTGGCAAATATTGACGCTCAACTTTTATTTACGCACACAAATGTTCAAGTTTCCAACAAAAGATAAATATGAAGTATTCTAAATCGTTGCCATGCCGGGCTCGTCGTACTCCCACTTGCTCCCAGCTCCCCCACGAAGCTCCTGTAACTCCCCGAATGGTACTCTGTGCCATTTACTCATTTAACTGACAGTTAAAATTACAAACGCTTATCATGTACCAGAATCATATCATACGGAATAATTTATTATGCCCAACGCTTAATGTAATTCCCGAGCAGCGAAATTTTCGCTTCAAATGTGGATTCTGAGGCAGGATGTGTGCGGATATATATACAAACGTACTTACATACATACGTACAGGATATGGATATAGATATAGAGTATGAGTGGCTTGTGTGTGCTGGTTAACTGACTGGTTTTGTCTTTGAGATAGATGGAATAAAGTGCGCAACATACAAAATGAATATGTACCCTGCGCCCAGACACACATCGCCCCACGCCGGCACATAGTTTTATTTGCTCAGCTTGCCTTCTTTCATTTGAGACCCTCGCGCAATAGACATTCAACACATATACCATATATACATTAGGATATATATATGTATCCATGGTTGTATGTGTGCTGGTTTATGCTCTGCACCCTGAGGTTAATTAAGATTTTGCCATGCATTTGTTTGAACAAATGGTGTTTGTGCTCGAAGAAGTGTGCGAATCCAGCCGAGTCAGCGAAATGAAAAAGTTTTATTAGTTGTAATCCCTAATTAAATTAAAACTGTACCATCTAATTAAATGCGGGCCTAATGCGTGATATATGATGAATGTTGAATTAGATTATTAGCGAAGCTTTTGGCTTGCCATTCATTAATCATTTGCGAAAATATTTTTAATGCTAACTTGGCTTTAATGTCTAATTCACAAAAAGAGTTAGTTGAATAATCAGTCTAATCTAATCTTTTTTTAAAACGCGTGGTTTATTTCTGAATTTATGGAAATTCAAAATAGATTCATTTCCTATCTGTTTGAATGTCAGATTCTTTATTTGTCGGACTCTTTCGTTTAATTTATTAAATACATTCCAGCTACTTTCATTAATATGCTGATAAATTTCCACTACCAACTGAGGCATAAATAATTTATGATTAATTCCATTCTGAGAACAGTGTGCAATTCAATGCAAATAATTAATATTTAAAAAGTATAAACGCCATTCCATAATTTGTTTGGCTTATAAGTCAATGATTTAACATACAAATAAGCGATTATATTTTTTCAATCTACGTGACTCGCATGTTCTCTATTAGGAAATTATTGTAAAAAATTTTACCTTATTAACTATTACAAAAAAGTAGAATAAATAAATGAGAGTGTATGTACCTATCATAGTAGGACATATGTTTGAGGTCATAGGGTTTTATAATCAAAATCAAATCAGATCTCCAAACCTTCAGATCAACTTCAAAGTTTTCGAGCTCCTTTCACTTCAAAAATATATTAGTTTGAAATAGTAGAAAAATTGTATTAAGTTTGTAAAATATTAATATTAGTTAATTATGCCGATCGCCAGACGCAGATATCGCCGTGCAAAAGCTCGATTGGCCAAGGCCGCAGCTCGACTAACAGGAGACAACATCGAAGGTCCTTCTAACCAACAAGCCAATCAGGACAATCCAGGATCAGTACAAGAGCAGACTCCAGGAAGGGAGATCACTGTCAGCCCCTATAACACCGTTGAGTCACATCGCCACTGGGGTGTATTCTTGAACCGAAGTCGCACCCATCCCATCCGATTGCTCACTACGGCTCTTATTCGCTATGAAGGTGATGATTTTGGCGAAAAGAGATTCGTTGGTGACTTCGGGGGCAACCTGTGCGAATTTCGGGTCTGGTCACCTTTCCAGTCCAAACTGGCTGCCGGCATAATGAATGGTCTTTCGGATCTACATCTGAAGAGTGGAGCCAATGTGCTTTATTTGGGCGCCGGCTTTGGCCATACAGTGTCGTATGTGTCGGACATTATTGGAGAATCGGGAATGGTGTATGCCGTGGAGCAGGGTCCTTGGGCTGCACGCCAGCTAACAACCCTAGCCAATCGCCGGCCAAACGTCGTGCCCGTAATGGAAGATGCCTCCATGCCTTACAAGTACCGCCATCAAGTGCCCGCCGGTATCGACATAATTTTTTGTGACTTGCCGCTGTCGGATCAGGTGCGATGTCTGATGCTGAACGCTCGTCATTATCTTTCCATTGGAGGATACTTTTTGGTGTTCGTGCGAGCAAACATTTTGGAACCGAATGTAGCAAACACCTTGGCCCTGGAGAAAGAACGTCTCAAGCAGCATCAACTGGAGCCGCTTGAGGAGGTACTCTTGGATCCTTTCATGCCTGGATTTGCCCTAGTGGCGGGCGTGTACACGCGTGAGGTGCCGCGTGATTAGTTTAAGTTCATTTTAGTGGGTGGTGGCGGTCTATATTGTGTTAAAGGTGGTGGAGAATATTATTTTTTTCGGCTTTGGTTACATAACAATAATCAATAGTACACATAACACAGATCATTTGAACACTAAAACCAAGACATATGTATTATTAAAATTTGAGTTTGAAAGATTAAATTTAAAATACCAACCAATTCATCTATAAAAGAAAATCCACCCAGATTGAATAGTTGAAGAACTGCCCTTAATGAATATGCATAAATGAAAGTCATTATAAACTGTAGGTATTCAAAACTTGCACTAAGGGCAGATTTTTTATGCGAATAATAATTAATTTTGTTCACTGCCCCGCGAAATTTAGAACGAAAAGGGGCAGTGGTGGAGAAGTGGACTGTGGACTGTGGAGTGGCTATTCTTACAAAGGTCACTCAAAGGGGTCTCCAGTTGATTCGGCGCGTATAGAAAGTGTACCCGCAAATGCTGCACATAATTTAACAAAGTGTACTGTAGCGCGGCAACAACAACCAGACGAGAGGCAGCATCATGGGCAATAATAATGGCCCAGAACAAGTGCAAAAACAAGAACCAGACCAAGGGAGGGCGGAACAACAGCAGGCAGCAACATTTCGACTTCATTTTGTTGTGGTTTTCCTTTTGGCCCGCTCGCGCTCTTTCTGGCAATGTACATAAAACTTTTTCGGGCCACTACAATTTTTAATGCACTCTCTGACATTGCAATGGTTTTCGGGATCGGCCGGAGTGGTGGAGTGGCGGCGAAGGTGGTGCAGATGGAAGGGGCATTCTGGCGAACAAGCAAATGAAACTCAAGTGCATGTAGCGCTGGCCCGGCCAAGTGGCATAGTCAAAAAAAAAAAAGTAAAATAAAGAAACAACAAACCGTCGGCGAAAAACATCACAAAACGAAGAAAAACGCAACAAAAATAACACAGCAGAAATGAAATAAAACAGGCACAAGAAAGGCCAGTAGGAAAACAATAATAATACACTGGGGGGGCGTTGGTACAAGGAGGCATGGGCCGGGGTAAAAACTCAGATTTTTAATAAACTTGCCGAGGCTCCTTCCTTTGGCTTCGTCTTCCGCTTCTCGCTTTGCGCTGCATACTTTTGGGCGCAGCGACAATAGTCCCGTTATTGTTGCCACAGCGGCTGCTTATTTACGAGTATTTGCCTAGGAATGTGGCAAGCGTCTTGCCAAGTGGCAGCTACACCGCCCCCCGCTACCCCAACGACCGGCCATCCGCATAATGAGCCACCAGCGCCGGCAGACGACGGCAGTTCATGAAAAATCAAGAGCCAAGAACTTTTAGCCGCCAAACTTTAGCTCGCCGTAAATTTGCCCAGATCATGTTTGAAGTTTATCCAAAATGGAAGATTCCAAAGAAAAGAAAGTGGGAGTTGGGGCAAGCGAAGCAAAATTCTTGGCCACGTTGGGACCACCTACACAACACGTCTGTTCTGACTCCATTAACCCGGTGGGAACCAAAATGACACCGCAAGCTCGTATAGCGGAACTTCAAGCAAACGTCTGTAACCATATGACACGGGTCCACATATCACCAAACCCCAGGTGAAGTACTAAGCATTTTTTTATAAAAATCTTTAAATAAAATATAAATTTTTAAAACGAAAGTAAAAACCATATAAAGTAAATATTTAATGGAGATTCAAAAAACTATCCACTCACCTTTCGGGTCAGTATCATACCACCATAAGTGGCAAATGCTTGTGCCCCAGCTCGGTTAAGTTGGCTAACACGTGATGCAGAGGTTGGCTTCGGTGTTGGGCGGTTGCTGAAGAGGGTGGGAATGCATTTTTAAAATACTCGCGCACATTTTCGCAAATGGCAACAAACGGCGCCAAGTTTAGCAGCTGCGCTGCCACTGCCGTTGCCACTGCCACTGCCACAGCCGCTTCCGATGTCTTTCGGGCGCTGTAAAATGCAAAATCCAAATGCCCCGCTGCCCCAGCTCCGTTTTCCATAGTTCCATGGCTTTTGGCATAACATTTTTAGCATATTTGTTGCAGTCTAAACACGTGACAAGTATGCGTGTGTGTGTGAGAGTGCCATTAGTCCCTTGGTCATGCTCTGGGTACGGAAAACTCACGTGCCATCTACGATATGCAGCTATTGCCAAAAAAAAAAAGGGAAGAAAAAAAACAGAAAACTTTACCGCAGGAGCTTCGGCGGGACAACAACGGGAAAAATACGAACATGACCATTTTCCGGGGGGCACTCTCTGTGGTCATACATATGCCATTGCATCGGCATACTTTCTGGTACACATTTTAATAAATTTTTCACACATTAAAGCCCGAGGGTTTCTAACAGGTTTCTTAACACAAATTAATATATATTATCAAAGCTGTTAGTGGAACTTACTTTTAAGCCATTAAATAAAATGTTTATTGCCAATTATGCCCCAGTTCTTCACTGTGCCCACCGTATAGGCGGATTGAGCCACACTTCGAATAGTTTACAAGCCTACCTCGTGACCTAGCACAAATCCCTGTAGAGGACAGGCGACATTAATGCCTGAAATTAAATAAATATGCTCGAATATTTTCAGTTTATGGCCATGTAAGTTGGTAGTAAAGTGTGTGAAATATATTCGATAAATACTTGAATATTAAATCAGCTTAATGGGCACCGAACAATTGAGAGGCCAGAACGCGAAGCGGAGAGGCGTGTCGGAGTCCACCTAGCACGCTCATTGAGCTCATTAAGCCCATAAGCTTTATTGATTTTTAACAAGCTCCCAATGGCTGTGACGTCAATTTACAAAAATTAATTATTGCCAGACCGCCTGGCTGAGTGGAAAATGCATTTGAATTGATTTGAGTGGATTTTATTAAAAAAATAATTCAATTTCATTAAGAACTCGCAAGCCATTTAAGAGGAAACGGTTAACATTTTTAAGTGATATTATTTCCGTTTTTGGAATTAATCCAGGCTTAAATTAAAGTGCTCTGATTTGAATTAATGCAGAAACCGTCTGAATGTTTCATCAGCTTGGCAGGAGCACAGCAAGCCAGCAAACCACAACCCAGCATTAACATCAGCATGCCTGTCAGCTGCAGGAGCAGCAGACTCGAAATCAGGATCAGACAGGACTAAAAGGAATGGGATAACCCTTGATATGGCCTTGCCATGTGCAGCATCTGGGACTCTGTCTCTGCGAGTGACTGATAACTGCAGCCATTTGCCGCTTGTTTCCTGCTCCCATTCTGCACCCCATTTCCAAGCACAACAAATGAAATCGATAAGAAACTAAGCGGCTTGCCGGCGAAATTCCATTTCTTTTCGAGTGGAGTCTGCAACTGCAGCTGCGGCTTATGCGATGCATTCCGCCATGTCTGCCGGCCAAAATGCGGCCAGCGACAAAGAATGGCATGTGGCTAATAGGATTTGGCTGCCACAACTGCTGAAGTGGGCGGACAATTCAGTTTTCAATTGTCTACTTCGATGCACAAGGCCGCCGCCATTAATGCTGCACTAAGCAGCTAAGGGTTTACGTTTAAGCCATGGATTTGGCCAACATTTTCAGCTAGAAATAAACAATTAACTGGCAACTCAATTTTATTTAGTATTACAACTATGAAGAGGGTAAAATAATCAATCGGCATAAAACACACAAGAAATTATACAAGAACGATTTTTTTTCAATATTTCTGTAGGGTCCCCTTCAAAATATGGAAAATGCCTGGGATGGACAATATGGCCCACACCGATGACTATATATTTGCCAATACCCATCAGATTCTTAAGCGGAATACCTTAAACGATTTGTACATCGATTCTCCGTTCATCTGCGTCAAAATCTGGATAGAAATTATTTTTCATATTTATTGTCAAATTTTCTGGAGGGTCCCCTTCAAAATATGGAAAATGCCTGGGATGAACAATATGGCCCACATCGATGACTATATCTTTGCCAATAATGATCAGATTCTTAAGCGGAATTCCTTTAACGATTTGCATATCGATTCTCTGTTCATCTGCGTCAAAATCTGGATGGAAATTTTTGTTTAGTTTTTTTGTCAAATTTTCTGGAGGGTCCCCTTCAAAATATGGAAAATGCCTGGGATGGACAATATGGCCCACATCGATGACTATATCTTTGCCAATAATCATCAGATTCTTAAGCGGAATACCTTAAACGATTTGTATATCGATTCTCTGTTCATCTGTTGCAAAATCTAGATGGAAATTTTTGTTTAGTTTTTTTGTCAAATTTTCTGGAGGGTCCCCTTCAAAATATGGAAAATGCCTGGGATGGACAATATGGCCCACATCGATGACTATATCTTTGCCAATAATCATCAGATTCCTAAGCGGAATACCTTAAACGATTTGTATATCGATTCTCCGTTCATCTGCGTCAAAATCTGGATGAAAATTATTTTTCATATTTTTTGTCAAATTTTCTGGAGGGTCCCCTTCAAAAAATGGAAAATGCCTGGGATGGACAATATGGCCCACATCGATGACTATATCTTTGCCAATAATCATCAGATTCTTAAGCGGAATACCTTAAACGATTTGTATATCGATTCTCTGTTCATCTGTTGCAAAATCTGGATGGAAATTTTTGTTTAGTTTTTTTGTCAAATTTTCTGGAGGGTCCCCTTCAAAATATGGAAAATGCCTGGGATGGACAATATGGCCCACATCGATGACTATATCTTTGCCAATAATCATCAGATTCCTAAGCGGAATACCTTAAACGATTTGTATATCGATTCTCCGTTCATCTGCGTCAAAATCTGGATAGAAATTATTTTTCATATTTATTGTCAAATTTTCTGGAGGGTCCCCTTCAAAATATGGAAAATGCCTGGGATGGACAATATGGCCCACATCGATGACTATATCTTTGCCAATAATCATCAGATTCCTAAGCGGAATTCCTTTAACGATTTGCATATCGATTCTCTGTTCATCTGCGTCAAAATCTGGATGAAAATTATTTTTCATATTTTTTGTCAAATTTTCTGGAGGGTCCCCTTCAAAATATGGAAAATGCCTGGGATGGACAATTGGCCCACATCGATGACTATATCTTTGCCAATAATCATCAGATTCTTAAGCGGAATACCTTAAACGATTTGTATATCGATT